TGCTGTTAAAATTTGTTTTTACCGAATTGTTAAAAAGTCATAAACAATTTTTTCCAAAAAAAACACGATTCTTCGAAAAAAAATTTCATTTCAGACGTATTTTCACCGGAAAAAAGTAGATAGATACTCTCAAAAGCTCCAAATATCGCGTCCATGGACATTTAGCTACCAATCCCTGAAGCGATCAATTTTTTTTCAAAATGGCGGACGCTAATATGGCGGCTAAAGCTACAAAAATGGCTCGCATATGAAACATAGTGCTCCAACTTTTTCAAGTCACTAAAATCGCCTGAAACTCGTTACTCCAGGGTTCTTGGGATCGATGATTACAAATATGATGTCAGTTTTGAAAAATTCAAAATGGCGGATCCAATATGGCGGACGAGTTTTGTAAAAATTAATTAAACTCACCTAAAACTTTCTACTCGGGGGTTCTTGGGATCGCTGATTACGAATATGATTTCAGTTTTTAAAAATTCAAAATAGCGGATCCAATATGGCGGATCAGTTTTGTAAAAAAAATTTGGATTCACCTGAAAATCTCTACTCGGGGGTTCTTAGGGTCGCTGATTACGAATATGATTTCAGTTTTTAAAAATTCAAAATGGCGGATCCAATATGGCGGACGAGTTTTGTAAAAATTAATTGGACTCACCTGAAACTCTCTAGTCGGGGGTTCTTGGGGTCGCTGATTACGAATATGATGTCCGTTTTGAAAAGTTCAAAATGGCGAATCAGTTTTGTAAAAAAAATTTGGATTCACCTGAAACTCTCTACTCGGGGGTTTTTTGGAGGCGCTGATTACGAATATGATGTCAGTTTTTAAAAATTTAACCCTTAAAGCGCACCCTGGGTGTGCGACACTCATATTCTAGCTTTTTACTCTAATATCTCGTTTAAATTCGTAAAAATTGAAAATGTATCGCAATTGGAGGGTACATTTTACTTTATGTTCCGTGAGTGACAGTATTGTCCCAAGTGTCTTTGTGTATGTGATAACTTTATGAAGTTGACGGCGAAAAATTTCTATGCCCTACTAAAAATAAAATCAGGAATCGTCATGAATGGTCAGAATTTCTGAACATTCCTGAACAGTCTCACCACTTCTGACGTTTTCGAACGTTTCTCACCATTCCTAACCAAATACTTTCCAAGCTCCTCCCACTTTACTCCCACCATTTTCGAAGCTGTGACCATTTCTGAAATTCCTGACCATTTCTGAAATTCTTGACTATTTCTGAAATGTGTGAACACATAACCTATAAAAATTTTGGTACATCTTTCTAATTTTGGTAAAGTCTCATGAAAATTTATATATGCATATAAAATCTTTCAAATTTATTTTTTACATTTCAGAATACATTATTCTATTATAAAAATTGTTCTTTTAACTTAACAAAAGTTCTCATTTTTCAAATTGGTATAATTATTGAATTAATTATACAGCAAAAGTAGGTAAATAAATCAAAACATTCGGACCATTCTTTAAACATTATTTAATATATTTATTTAATGTATATTTATAATATATTTATTTAATATATGTATATTTACTTGTAATTATTTAATATAGTTAATTAATAATAAATTTTGTTTCATAATATTAGTAATTTACTATACCAGTCAGTACTTATTATGAGAAGTATTTGCATTATAATTGAAATACATACAGTTATATTTAAATTATTATTAATCATTAATAGAATAATTTCTTACTATAATGATTACCTATTAATAATTTAAATTTAAAATTTATAAAAATTTCAATATTGCATTAATAATTCATTATTATTATAAATTATAATGTTAAATTAAATTAATATTAAATACTAAATTCATTTTAAATGCAGATATAATAATAATTATTATTAATCTGTATTCGTATTATAGTTTATGAAACATTCCAAATTGTAAAGTAAAGACTTAATTTATTATTGATTCAATTAATAATGTTAATTTTTATTAATTCACTGTTACAAAAATTAATGAAAAATGAGTATTAATTATAATCAGGAATCACTATCTTCGGAGTTGTAACAAAGAAAGAATTGGAATTTATAATATTTTATTTAGTTCAATTCTTTGATAATTTATGGGGTCGTTATCTCTCTTTAATCTTGGTACATCTCGCCTCTTTATAAATTTTATTAAGAGAATTTCTAGCTTGTCATTATTATTTAAATAAAAGATCACAATAATTTATGTCAAATATGATATATTTAAAATAACCAAGTTTTATTACAAGTTTTAAATTTCGCAAAACCAGATTTCGAAAATATGAACTAAAGTTGGATGAAATATGATTCAATTTTCATAATAAAAGGATTTACTTAAATTTTGAAACGATACTATTTGTTACTTACGAAGTATTGGCCTTAATTCCTACCGCACTTAAAAGAAGGGAGAGAAGGTCATCTAGAGCTGGTCCTCCTTCTTATTAGGACGGGCAACTATTTGTTTATTTGTTTTAATTTGTTAAAGTGTTGTTCACCATTAATTTTCAGTCTTTGCTATTCAGAACGTTCACTATTAACAACTTATTTAAATGGGACAATTTGAAGCACTCATTTTAAATATTTTGTTTTTGTCTCTACTCGTTTCGATTCCTCAATCTTTACGCGGCTATTTAATTCGAATATCTATTGTTTTGGACTTGTCTTATGATCGTTGTCATAAGTTCAAAACAATTCAAAGTGTGACGAAAGGGCTGCCAAAATTGTGGAATATATGAACGAGAGTAATCGACAATCGTGATTTTATTTATGAGAAGGTTTAAATTGTTCCATTATTTATTTTTGTGTTCACTGTTAATTCTCAGTCTTTTCTATTCCAAACACTTCGCGATTTTTGATTTTAACGTCCGCCCGAATTCGGTTGCCCGTGGCGAACCCTTGAACCGGCCGAGTTTCGCAGACGGTCAACCTCGCGATAACCTGTCTCCAGGAGTTAACTGTCGCGAAGAAGCAATTTACATTGGGACACATCAGTTTTAATACCTAAAATTGAGGTTTGGGTGTGTCAAAATTTAGTGGAGAGGGATAAAGGATTGGAAAACGTATTCTTATATTGGCCAATAATTATTATAACTTGGAATAACTTTAATGTCATTGCACCCTCTTACTGTGCAAAAATGTTTAGTTCCTTATATTGGTTGCAACATGTGAATTTGCAACAGAGTCTTTGATGTCAAAGATCTTTTAGAAACGCTTACGTTTCCATTTTATCAACAGACTACATTTTGGTCATTAACCTAAAAGAGTCTTTGATACTTTTAATTTATGGAGCTAAAGAGGACAATTATGAAATTATTCCATTAGTTCATACTTGGCAATTATTTTATTCGATTAAGTTTTTGGTTCAAAGAAGGATATGGAATTTGGATTCTCAAGTTGTAAAAATGATGCACGCGCAATGTAAATTCCTTATAATTTGTTGACACTATTGCAAAACTCTAACTTATTGCAATATGTTCGGTTTTGTTTAGTGCAATAATTTATTCTGTGAATTTGTGATAAAATAGTTGTAAAAGTATTTTGGAAGAAGCGTAATAGAATAGAATTTTACTAAGAATCAAAACTACTTAATGCCTTTCTAAGTAAGAAAAGGGGAGTTTAATTTTGATGGCTCGTATGACCCTTTCATTTTTCTTTAATTTCGCTTATGTATATTTTACCGTTATAATTAAATATAATAGGAAATATACTCTTCTAATTATAGTAATTGTGAATACAATTTATTAAAATTTAATTTAATAAGGATAAAAAAAACGATACGGCTTGTAACGTTACATTCACATAACCTATTGTGACTAAATTGAAATATAATTAATTAATCAAATTATTTAACAGTTTATACTGATTTATTGATAATATTGGTAATTGAATTTTACTATTTTACAGTTGCTCTTTATATAGGCAGTTGAATCCAGAAATATGTAAGTCGGTTCGGTAGTCGCAGTCGTTAGGGCAGTTAGTTTAGGCACTAGGTTAGGTCATGCGTCGGGGTTAGATCCCCGTAGGGTCCAAATTTTAATTTCATTACGGGAATTAGTTTCAAGTTGTTCCGTATGTAAACAAACTGATATTAATTAATAAAATATATTTTTTTAAATTTATTTGTTGCAACTTTTTGCATATTGTTTAAATAAATAAAACAGAAGTGGCTTAAAAATATGGTCAAAAATGAGATACAAATGGTCTCAAATAGTCACCAATTATTGGCGTGGTCAACAAAGAGGAGGGGATAGTAGCAAACTTGTGACCACTTTAAACTTCCTCCTGATCAGTTGTGATAGATTTCTGACGAGATCCATCCAGAATCGTAAGAAAACTGGATTAAAGTGGTCAGGCGGCCTGACCATTTGTCTGACCATTCCTGATTTTATTTTTAGTAGGGTGTGGCTGACGCCCAGTTATCGGTTTAAAGGTGCTTCTATACCTCTGGTGTTTTGGCCAAGCAATCGGCTGGATGCATTTTCACAGTCGGATCACGTAATTTGATTGGCTGTACTAAAGATTCCATTTTCACTGTTTCTAATTTTCATAAACAGTGAAAATGGAATCTTTAGTACAGCCAATCAAATTACGTGATCCGACCGTGAAAATGCATCCAGCCGATTGCTTGGCCAAAACACCGGAGGTATAGAAGCACCTTAAAGTAATTTTAGTACCCCGCCGATGGTTGTCCACTACCGAACATCATCGATGTCTTTGACGTGCTGGGAGAAGCGGATCTACTGCCAAATATCATTGATTTCTTTGATGTACTGGGAGAAGTAGATCCACTGCCGAACATCATTGATTTCTTTGATGGGCTGGGAGAAGTGGGTCCGCTGCCAGACATGATTGATTTCTTTGATGAGTTGGGAGAACTGGGTTCGCTGCCAGACACGACTGGCATCATGGATATGTTCGGTAGACCTTGTCGTGGTGGCGGGGCTTTTCACTAAAGGGCAACTAAACAGCAAGAAAAAATGGATTCAGAAAATTGAGAGAAGATACCCCATGTGAGCAGGCCGGAAACGGGAAATCTCACCATCGGTCCCAGGACTGATGCTCAAGTGCGCGCGGATTGTGGGAGCGCACAATTTCTTGCAGTACCACGTGTGATCGTGGAAAAGTTAGAACCACAGAACATCGTGGAAAAAGAAAGATGGAGAAAAGGAAGCGCGTCGAGCCTTCTGAGTGTGTCAAGTTGCAGTAGCGGAAAGACCGTACGCAGCGCTATCCACTCGGAAGTGGACGACGAGGCAATAGAAGAGAGTCGCGAGATATGCTTGTGGCTCAGAAAAGAGGAGGCGACTTGTCTCGACAAATTGGAGTTGGAGGTCGCAAAGATGATGGAGTCTTGCGACATTCAGAGGGGCGTCAAGAAGACGGTAAAAGATGGACTTACAGTCATCGAGGTCCTGCTGAAAGAAGCAAAAGCAAAGCATGTCGCGGCCGATGAGTCGGACGTCGATTTGGCATGCGTTCTGAGCGGTGCCGAGTGTAACCGCAAGGACCGTAAGGAAGAGAGAGAGCGTTCATATAGGCGTAATCTCAAAAGCATCATAAGAGATGCTCAGAAACGGAAGAGAGAGGGTGACAGTCCAGAAGAGACTCGAACCAAAACCGATAAGAGGAAGAAGGAGGAAGCTCCTCCAATGGAAACGGAAGTACCAGATCCAAAGATTCCTCAATTGGAAAGAATTGGGTCAAAAAGATCCACAGTTCTAATCCGAGTCGGTTAAGGATTGACGTATGCTGACGTTCTAGGTAAGCTTCGCAAAGAGGTTAACCCGGAGGACAGCCATACGAGAATAGTAGCAGCAAAAGCTACAAACAAGGGGGACCTTCTGATTAAGTTCAGAGGAGACTCCGACAAGGACGCTTTCACCGCCGAGGTCACCAAAGCGGTTGGAAGCATGGGTAAGGTGCAGTCATTGGATCGAAGAGTTACACTCGAGATCCGTGATTTGGATCGCCTTACCCAAGAAGCTGAGGTGCAACAAGTGTTGTCTGAAGCAATGGGTAAGCCAGGAAACAGGAGAGTGACGGTCTTAGGACCCAACCGCCGAGGGATGAAGCTCGCGGTTGTAGTCACCAATCTGGAGGAGGCGAACAGGCTGGAGAAATTGGGACACGTAAAAATTGGTTTTATGTGTTGCCCAATCAAAAGAAGAGTAATGGTCGTCCGGTGTCATCGATGCCTGGGATACGGCCATATTGGAGCCAAATGCCAGAAGGAGGACAGATCGGCTGCGTGCTTTAAGTGCGGTGAGGCCGGTCACAGGTTCTCCAACTGCAAAAAGAACGCAAGCTGCTTTTTGTGCACTGAAAAGTTTGGCAATAAGGTGTCAACTACCCATATTGCAGGCAGCGGAGGATGCGGAGTCTTCAGGTCGGCCCTTGAGGAGGCGAAGAAGACTCTTGCAAGGACTAAAAGTAAATGAGAAGTGTTAAAAGGAGCGAATAGTTTTTAATTATTTATTTTATTTACTTTAATAGATTAATTTTTGTTTTTATGTCCGTTTACAATTTTATTTTTTAACCTTTTAATCTTTTTAATACTTTTTAACATTTGTTCCTTTATTCTTTAACATTGGAATGGTTTTTAATTTTAACTATTGACGCAGAAGAACCGCAGAGAGAGAACAAAGTCGCATGAGCGACAGAGTCGGAGCGCCACCCTCGAAGGCTAAAGTCTTGCGACAGTTCCGAGGGTGGATAAAGGACTTCAAAAGAAGGGTTACGGGTTTTAGTGGGTCGGGGCTGGCAGTAGGTCGCCAGTTTATTAAATTTTATTATTTAACTTATCTTATCTTTCCTTTTTTTTTTTTATTATACCAACCCCACATAACCTTGGAATGCGGAGTCCAAGGTATCTGTATGCAGATTTCCCAAAAGTCCCTAAGCGAAAAAAAAGGTAATTTTAGTAGTTTAAGAAATTTTTTTTGTAGATATTAAGATTAAGTAAATTATTATGAAACCTATTTTTCTTCAAAATAGATGCACTGAGTTACAATAAATAATTTTTATAAAAGATAATATCCTATTTTAGCTTGAAGAACAAACAGTAAAGTCCCCGGGTGTCGCACACCCAGTGTGCGGTTTAAGGAGGGCGCCTACTTTAAAAGGTAAAAAACTGCGTACATTTCAGGAATTTTTTTCTCAAATACATTTAAATAAATCGATGCGAGATTTAGTGTATGTTTTCTTATATATTTAAACCTTTGAAATATAATTTTTTCATTAAATGAAAATAGAATTTAATAATAAAATAATCGCCATATATATAATGCCTCGCTGCTGAAATTTTCCCATTGCGTACAACCTAGGGTCCACAATTCTTATCTAAACCAAAAAAACAAAACTTTTTCTTCAAATATACATTATCGCCTTCTGTATGAATTAAAAGATTTCAATATAAAGTAAAAACTGAAATTTTTACATGACTTTTAAATTAAAAATTTAATTTTTGCCAAAAAAAATCTCATTTTTTCTCTAAAATAAAGCATTAAATTTAACTCTATCAAAAACAAATTTAATTTATACAGAAGAGACACTCTTTATCTTCAAAACAAGCCCAGGTAGACCTTAATCGGTTGATTAGATTTTTGTCTATCGTGTATGGGAGACTGGGGCTAAACCGGACACGTCAAATATTTCCGAAACCATGAGGAATTTCAAATAATGTTAATAACCTTTGAACGCGCTATTTCGTGAAGCATATATTGCATGAGGTTTTAGGGTCATGTCATTTTTCTTGTAATAATAGTTGCCGTTAATATATAAAAATGTCGTTTTTTGCAGTAAAAGTAAAAAAAAATTTTCTTATTTTTTTGGGCTTTTATTGTTATTATTAAAGTGCATATATCATATGGAAATTTTTTTATTAGCTGAAGGTGTACTGAGTTTAGTAGAAGAAAAGTTTAATGGAAAACGTTAAGAAGAAAAAAATTATTGCAGGTTAATTATTAAATGACGGTGTGGGACAAAATCGGACGTCGTGATAAAAAACAATCAAATTTGCGAATACTATAATTTATTTGATATTAATGACCTATTTTATATTATATTCTTTGCATAGAACCACTTTATCAATAAATAAATAAATAATTTATTTTAAAACACGAATTAGCAAGCGAGTTGCTGAAAACAAGCAAGTCTGAAAACTGTAATTCATTTTATATTATATTAATTACATATTTTACATTTTATATTATATTCTTTGCATATAACTACCTACAAATAAATAAACAAAGAATTGTTTTGATTTTTCTACAAAAAAATCGAAAATTTGTGACTCTGTCTTTAATTAATTAGCAGTGTCCGATTTAGCCCCATGGCGTGTCCGGTTTAGCCCCACCAATTTTGGGATTTTCGTTTATGAGGTAGTCACCTTCAAGTTCAAAGCAATATATCTCCTAAGCTATTGTAGTTTTTTAAAAACGAACAAGTGCGATTTGTAGGTGAAGGAACAAGCTTTAAAACGGTATATTACTCTTTAGCAAAAAAAAAATTTTCTATGAGTTTTCTGGTCAAAGAACAAATCCGTCCGGTTTAGCCCCAGTCTCCCCTATGCAAACTACAAAAACAGTGTTTTGAGAAAAACGCGTTTAAAGATTGAAAACATATATAAGTGCTGTTTCGCGGCCTCGATAAACGACTATTTTTTTATGTGTAGCTCTTGGATATTATATTCGTAATCAGCGTCGCCGAAAACCCCAGAGTGACTAGTATCCAGTGAAATAGACGACATTAAAATTTTTGGTCCGCCATATTGGATCCGCCATTTTTAATTTTCGAAAACTGACATCATATGTGGGATTATTCAACTTGTGATTGCACACTTTGTACAACAAATAAAGGTTCCCACAATCTTATGTGTTCAATAATCGAGAAAAATATAATTTTACTATAATGACTTTATTCACTTATAAAATTTCGTTGATCAACGAATATAAGAGAGATGTGACTCGTTCAACTGTACAGTTACTAATGTCCATTCGCACACACAATTCGTACATTCTACTACAACCTTTTAGGGTAAAGGGGGTTTCACACAGCAATTCTCCACACACTCCTAGAGAGCGATATAAAAATAATGTTGAAGTTATATATAAAAAAATTTTTGTCTTATATAAAAGTAAAAAAATAATTTTTTTTAACAATCTCAAATCAAAATAAAAATAAAAGTAATTATTATCGTCATGACATTACTTACTTCAGATTACGACATATCTCAGAAATTAAACATATTACTATTAATACTGACAAATTCAACATTAAGAATCTTGATTCTCATACAATAAACACCCAGTGGGCACACTTGTTCAAAAGACGTCCTAAAGATGTCTTTTTGCGGACGTCTTTTGGACTTGTACAAAAAGACGTCCTATACATGTTCTATGTCTTGGCCAATATATGTCTTCAAGATGTCTAAAAGACGTCTTTTTCATTCAACATTTGAAAATAGAAAAATTTCCATAAATAGAAAATATTATTTTCTAAGTTCAACTTGGACTTAGAAATTCATGAATGTAAAATTCATTGGAATTTTTCTAAGTTAAATTCATTTCATTGACAAGTGAGATCGTTAACTTTGTAGAGGTTCATATCTGTCTTGAACGGCTGAGGTGCTTAAGGCGCAGTGCTTCAATCCCAAGGTATCCGCCCACATAGCACAATATTATGAGGTAAGGTTATGTTCAATACTAATCGTAAGGCTCATAAGGTTACACGATATTGCTGTGGTAGACCTAAGGTGAACTAAAAACTTACGCCATGGAGGTAAGGTTACATGTTAGGGTGTGGTAAGTATATATGATAAGGCTATGGTAACGTTACACGTTAAGGTTGAGGTAACGCTAGTTTTATTAAAATAACCCACAAAATAAATTTTTTCTCATCAAAAAATTTGTTTGCATTTATGTTCACATTAGCTTCTTATTTAAAATGGTTGAAAAGAGAAATAAAACGGAATTTTCTCTATTCGAAAACGTCATAAAAATGAATTTAAAAAAGTGTGAAAAAATGATTTCATACCTGTTGTCATTTGATTACTCTTTTCAAATCCCAATTCCTTTAGATTTGCAAATGAATGATTTGATGCTGCAGCTGGGGATGTTTGCAGGTGTTCAACATATGTTGGTGGAAGTTCAGGAATTTGAGGTGCGACTTTTGAAACAGTTCTGAAATAATTAATATATTGAAAACTATTACGGAGTTCGTTTTTTAAGCTTTGAAATATTTAATTTCAACCTCAAGATCAGTATGTTAAAATGTATAAAATGTTAAAATGTATCAGTATGTATAAAATGTATTATCTATGGATATTCAAAATAATGTACCCACATAGCACAATAGTATGAGGTAAGGTTATGTTGAATACTAATCGTAAGGCTTGTGAGGTTACACGATATTGCTGTGGTAGACCTAAGGTGAACTAAAAACTTTCGCCATGGAGGTAAGGTTACATGTTAGGGTGTGGTAAGTATATATGATAAGGCTGTGGTAACTTTACACGTTAAGGTTGAGATAACCTTACACGTTAAGGTTGATGTAACCTTACACGTTAAGGTTGAGGTAACGTTACACGTTAAGGTTGAGGTAACGTTACATGTTAAGGTTGAGGTAAGGTTATATGTCAAGGTTGAGGTAAGGTAATTAATAAGTTGTAAGGTTAAGGTAAGGTTGTGATAAGTTTACCAGTTGTGGAAAATATTGACAAAATAATTAATAATATAATTAATAAATAAATATTAAATTAAAAAGTTAAGTTTGTTACTCTTCTCTATTTTGGAAACCTGACATGAAGCAGAAAATTTTGAAAACAAATTTGGGGGGACTGGGATTTGAACCCGGGATCGACGCGCATAAACCAATCATTCTAACTAACTGAGCTAAGTACAGAACTGTCAGAAGGAAAATCAATTTTGCCTTTAAGGTGAACCA